GTCTGGACACCCCAACAGACCCATCTGCTCCTCGCATTGCCAGCATCGATAGTGAAGACAGTACGGAGATTCGTATTCAACTTTCTGTCGCACTGACACGCCCACATTCTGTGCTAACATTGCGAAATCTTTTCCTTGCGTCTGGATTTACTAATATTTGCATGTTTTTGCACTTATCTTTGCACATATTTCTCTACTTGCTTCTTTTATCTGTGCCACCTCATAGGTTTCTCTTCTCCCTTAAGAATAAAGTAAGCTTGGCCTAACTGTAAAATGGTACATTAGTAAAGTACTTTTCAGGTCGTTCTGACGTCATTTTGTCTTCAGAGAGATTGATTGACTGAGAAGTGCCCTTTCAGCATACCGTTCTAACTGTAAGCTGTTTTCATAAGTGCTTTCGTTTTCCGACTTTAAAAGACGTCTGACTACACATAACGCTTCTTCAAAAACTGAAGACACATTGATTTTTCTCGTCTTCTGTCTTGTAGCGGAAATCAGAAATAATGTCGGGTATTCCAGAATTACCGATATTATTTATGATTTTTGTTGTTTTGTAAATAAACTTTGTGATTGCTTGCAAAGCGTTCATAAATTTGCCACATTTCATGCTAACAAAGTATTTCAGTCGCGACTCTCATTGACTGTTAAGGAATGAAATTGTTCATAAGATAATTCTATAACAGGAGAAGAAATGCAGTAGTCTCATGTTTCTCATTTGAAACGTTGATGTTCTGCTGCCTCAGTCTTGAGGCTGCAGGCAAAAATATAGTTCTCAAAACGTTTCAGTCATCGAGTCATATAATTTTTTATAACTTTGTTACTGAAGTGGTTAATTAGTTGTCAGCTACGGCAAAGTCTATAAAGTTAAAAGACTGCGTGGAATCAACATTCCCTTCTGGGTCAGTCGTGAAGTTATCACATGTTCTTCGTAAAGTTGTCACACAATCATGTCAATTATGATTGTTTACGATATTTATCAGTAGTTCAGCAGTACTAATAATGACATTCGGAATGGAAGTGTTAATTGTTTTCATTGAGTAATTAATAAGATGAAGTAGAACTGCCGTTGATGAATGCGAGTGATTGCAAGTGAAGATAGGCGAATAATTACACTGCTGCATGACACATATTTCATGCCTCAACTTTGACTCACTTTTACGTCTCGAACTTTGAAACTGAACAAGATAACAACAAAGATTGATTAGGAAAGATTAAAATATCTTCGTCCGACCTGTATCCTAGTTTAATAGGCTTGAAACCCTTGAACTCTTCAAAATAAGCCTTTACTAAATCCTATGCAAAAAAAAAA